TCATTGGAATCTCATCCGATTATGGAAAAAATGATGTTAACAATGTTTATTACATAATTGTTAAAAATACTAACCCGTAACGTATTAACTATCATTGTCTTCTGGACTCTATTCTCGTTTTCTTCTGGAAGTATCATCACTTCCAAAACAATGAATCATACCTGTATGAAATATCTTTCAAGAGTATATATGGTGATCCAACACCAATGGAGATTTCGTAGTCAACCTAGAAATGATTGAATTGTGGCTCCAGTGTATTGCAATCTTTTGACTTTTTATGTGCATCACATGTTAGTATACACCATGATTTCTTGAAATTGATCTATTCCAGGAGATGAGCCCTGAAGAACGGCAAAAGGTTACACCACGCACTGTCATGATTGGGGGAAAAGCATTTGCAACATACGCAAATGCCAAAAGAATTGTTAAGCTAGTAAATGATGTTGGTGCTGTTGTGAACAGCGATCCTGAAGTCAATAGTTATTTGAAGGTAAAACAGTTCATTAGACATCTCCAGTGCAGATTTACTTTAAGTTGGACTTTTTTCATGGATATGTAGTTCTTATACCATTTCTAGTCCAACAGTTGGTTCAAGCTGTGGCACCTAATATTGTTGAGATGAAATCATTCACCACTACCTATTCTTTTCGCCTTGTGTGACTTGCCTTGACCATCTCTCACATTATCACTTTCCTTTATTCCAATTTTACTCTGTTAACTACTTTTATGAATTTTTAGAATATCTTATAGGGAAGTTCCTTTCTGGTTGGATGCCTTCTTAAAATTCTCCTTACCTGTTAAAAGAATATAAAAGAAGAATTTGGAGAAACATACTCATTGTCAGTGAAGTACTCGTGAATAAATAGGAGTACCTTGATCAGTTGATATTGCCTCAGCTTTAATGTATTGAACTGAAGATAGTAAAACAATGCTTGGAATTTCTTTTTCAGACTTTGACTATTGACAATTTGAATGTCTTGTTGACTTTCATAGCTAAAACTGTCATTTGAACTTGATTGGAATCTATTAGGTTTTTTTTAATATACTAGTGGATTGCTACTGCTGCATCTGGCTGTCAGGGCTGCTTCTTGTCACTTACACCTTCTCATTAATCATTCAGAATATGGGGGAAAAAGCACTGGATTGTCATGCTTAGGGAAAAATACAACATGGTAGAAGTTTATGGGAAGTATTGGTGAAATGGAGTGGTTCCCAAAAATTAACTTCTTGTTGCTCAAGAATATTCAAGATTTACTCTATACATAATATTTCTTTTTTGTTTCCATTTTTTGCTTGCTATAAACTTCATCTTCAACTAATCTGACTTCTTTTACCATTCGTTTCAGGTGGTTTTTGTCCCCAATTATAACGTCTCTGTGGCAGAGATGCTTATCCCAGGAAGTGAATTATCTCAACACATCAGTACAGCTGGCATGGAAGCAAGTGGGACAAGCAACATGAAATTTGCACTGAATGGATGCCTCATTATAGGAACACTAGATGGTGCTAATGTGGAAATCAGAGAGGAAATTGGTGAAGAGAATTTTTTCCTTTTTGGTGCAAGAGCAGAAGAAGTCCCTCGGTTGCGCAAAGAAAGAGAGAATGGACTGGTATGATGCAGCAATTTCCTGTCTGGTATCTAATTCTTCCTTATTTGTAGCCAGATTAATGCTTTACAGTTTCCAGGTACTGTTAGGTCCTCGGTTGAGGATAAAAAATTCTCTCTCTCTCTCTCTCTGTGCATTGGGAAGCTTTATTCTGTCTGTAAATATGATGATGCATGGCTTGGTAACTTACTAAATATCTTTGTCCTAAAGAATGAAGAACTCTTTGCATTATGTTGTGAAAAGCACTGGGCTAATTTTTGTCATTCTTAATGTTTCTCTTTGCAATTAATGGTCCAAGAAAAAATAAAAATAAAAATAAAAGAAACAAAGATGATGAGGTCTTGACCATTTCATTGGCCACAGGGTCTGAACAGCTAATATGAACGTACAGGGTCCAAGCCTGATTATTTAATGACTATCAAGAACAAAGTATCTTTTCATTCTTTTCTTGGTAAAAAAAAAAAAAAAATCCTAGCACATGAAATACATGTCCTGCCTGAGTGTCTGTTTTTCCTGGTCAATTCAAAATTGGTTTCCAAGATCATCTCTTCCATTATATTCTCCTACCGTTCAGTGCTTACCTCTGAATGTAACTCACTTTGGTTCTGAATCTTTAGACACGATACTATAGTAGCATCATGTCATGGTACGTCTAATTTGGTTCCTTAAGATCATGTTAAGAATATATCGAGAAGAAACCAACTTTTAGTTTAATATTTATCTGCTGTGCAGTTCAAACCAGATCCTCGCTTTGAAGAAGCAAAACAATTTATTAGGTCTGGAGCATTTGGAAGCTATGATTACAACCCACTCCTCGAGTCATTGGAGGGAAACTCAGGTTATGGTCGTGGTGATTATTTCCTGGTTGGTTATGATTTTCCAAGCTACATAGATGCTCAGGCAAGAGTCGATGAAGCTTATAAGTATGTATACTTAATCCTTTTGCAGTATATCTTACATAATTTCATTTTAGAGCAGATATCTGCTTTAGTTTATGCATCAAGAAGGTTAACAACTTTTCTCAGCATAGTATGATTCTGAGATCTCTCAATCAACATAAAAATTTAATTGTAATAGAGAAACATAGAAGAAATGTGGAATTATTTTGGACAGATTGCTCAGCTCCATGTTAAGTTGAACGTTCTTAGTGGTAACAGGTCAAATATGTGTAGAAATGTTTACAAGGGAGAGCCTAGAATATAGTCCCTTGCAAAGTATGCTCAAATTATACAGTAGTTGGAGATTTGATACGGAAAAGCAATTGAAACTTGGGCATAGTTCTCAAAGAAATTGAGCGGATATACCTGTCTTAGGCATTTGCTGACATCTAAAGGAGCTTAAATGTGATAGTCTTGTTTGGACAATATAATTTGGAAAAAAATTTGCAAATATTATCCTACTTGTATCATTAACACAATTTTCAATTATCTTTTTATTTCACATACATCATATCATAAAAAGTACAATGGGTTAGTTTTTGACAATGAACGTGTGTTACACTTGTTATGTGGAATAAGAACCTGAGTGTCCGGTTTTTTTATTTCGCTTAAGGTGTCTAATGCTTGTTTCGCTGCCTGCTGATTTCATTAACTAATAAATCTTCTGAGTAGAAATGTAATGATAAATTAAAGAGCAGTGGCATCTTGTTTGGTAATAATTCTTGTTGGAATGCTAATGCATTATGGAGCAGAATGGTTCAATCTTGTTTGGTAATTAATGCTTGTTGGAACTAGATGCTGGAGAAATGTTCAATTCCAACCATTAATGCAATGAAAGCAGAATCTGGGTTAACTTCACTTAATTCTCTCTTATTTGCTTTAAAATATATTTGCATGCAGGGACAGGAAAAGGTGGATTAAGATGTCCATACTAAGCACAGCTGGAAGTGGCAAATTCAGTAGTGATCGTACAATTTCACAATTATGCCAAACGCAGATATGCGCAACATAGAGGAGTTTGGCGAGTGCCGTAATTGAACAAAATTGCGTACACAATTCCACCTATAATGACCTGGCTCTCTGTGTACGATTGATGTGAACTCCAGTGCTTCCTTTAATTCATCATTATCCGTGCGCCATCAAATATATTACTAGTATCCGCACACATTTCAACTGAACTACACGTGAATGCATCTGCGTACAAATTATCATCCAAGCATTCCTATAGAATAATTTTTTCATTATAAATATTCCTTAATCTTATTTTTTCAATATTTTCAATCATTTTCTATTTTCAATATATGTTACATATTTTTTCATTTCAAAATAATCTTCTATCTACATAATGTTGCCAACACTGCTACTAGCCCTGTTTGGAAGTGTTGTTTCTTACGCAAGGTTTGTCTGATAATATTAGTTTTTATACTTTTGTTACAAGAACTCCAAAAAACATTTATCAAAGTTTTTAACCTACACACTTTAAATAAACACAATAAAATTTTCCTTCAACTTTTCTTCTTTTTTGCCCCATCCAACTGCCACGGTCTTCCTCGTCCGGCCACCACCCTCCCACCACCACTTTCTCGGGCTATCACTATTTAAACGCCCGGCCAACTTCTCTCTTTTTTTTTTTTTTTTTTTTCCTTGTACCTCTCCATCACCCCTTCTCCTCCTCTCTCCTCCCCCTTTGACCCACTACTACTCGAATTATACTGCCTCTTTCGCTGCCAGGGGAGCGAAAAATTCAGCTCCGTGTGAACACAAAACACTTTCACCACAGCATTCATCGTCAGGACCATCCTCGCTGCCGCCGCAGCAACACTCCCCCGCCGCCACCATGGAGCAAGAAATGAGGGAAGCGGTGGGGCCGTTGTTAGCTTTGTCTAGGAGAAGGCGAGTAGGGGAGGCAGCTGTTATGGCTTTGGAGGATTCGAACGAGGGCAATTTCTTCTTCTTGGATGGGCAACCATGGCGGTGACGCGCTCGTGATTGGATCACTGAGAATGGTTGTAGTGATAGTTGTGATGCAGGTCGATGAGCTCGACGTTGCTAACAGAGAAAACGACGTCGTCGGAGTTAGCGATCAGACTTGAGCTCAAGCCCCGGACTAAGTCCGGAATTGTTGGGCATCGGACATCCATGTTTAGCAGAGTTGCCTCTATTAAGCTCCACCGGACTAAGGGAAGAAGAGTTGCCAGATACGACATCCATGGCTGTAGCCTGCAAGGTCTAGGGTGTCGGAGAGCAGAGGTGGAGAGAAAAAGAGGGACAGAGGAGGAGAACGGGAGAGAGCAGAGGTGCCCGGGGAAGGGGCAAAGAGAGGAGCCGAGGAAGAGAAAAAGAGAGATAGAGGGGCAGAGAGGTAGAGGGAGGAAGGGGCAGAGGTGCCGGGGAAGGGAGAAGAAAAAGAGAGAAAAAAAAAAGAAAGAAAAAAAAAAGAAAAGGAAAAAAAAAATTTCAACCTAAAAATTTTTCTTATAACTTCTATAATAATCTACAGTAAAATTTTAAACAAACATCCAAAACACTGACCTTCCAAACAGGCTAATAATTACATTGAGAAATCCAACTTTTGCCCTCTCAAATATAAATGCTTATAAGAGCTATGTGAAAATACACCACTAAATCCGAGGAGTTGGGGCCAGTGATAAGCGGCTGGTAATGCGAGCAGGACGACCAAGGTTCGATTCTCGCTGCGCTCCTGCAATAACTCCAGGGCCAGGCCTTCACCCTCGAGTAAGAGTCAAACTCTGCGAGCGCTCCCCGGGCTGAATCCGGATTAGTCCGAAAGGGATACCGGGTGGTTAGACCCAAAAAAAAAATACACCACTACAAGAGAGAAGCGCCTGATCCTTCGGGCATGTATGAACATGTAGACTCGAAAGTTCCTGAAAGAATCTTCTATTCGGTTTGTGGACTTGGACTTTCCAGCTAAGAAACGAAATGACGCGCTCCCATGCTTTCAACACGACTCCATTCCTAGTTTAGGGTAGCTGCCTCAGACTTCAACCCGTCTATTAACAATAAACCAACTCACCGAAGTCTTGGATCTATGCCACATAACCCCAGACCATAGTAACGATAACGTACACGGGGAATAAACAAAAAAAAAGAAAAAAAAAAAGCTTAAACTCAATGCCTAAAATGGCCACAATTGCCAAAAAAAGGGACCAAAACCTGGGAACAGTCGCACATAGAAACTAAAATATAGAGAGTCGAACAGCAGCTTAAAACAAGTCAACGCAAACCATCAAATCGACTCTTCACAGTTGCTTGTCACTAAAAAAGGGAAACCACACACAAGGAGGTCAATCAGATGTAGGAGTAACAGATCTTGAAACAGATCTAGAAGATGCACTACAACTTCTTGAAGAGCTCCTTGAAGAATAGCTATCCCGAGAAACTCTCCTCCTCCACCTTTTCCTTCGCCTGGGTGAAAGGCTACGCGAGAAGCTCCGCCTTGAGCTCTTCCTAGGCAGTGGAGAGAGACTCCAAGAATAGCTCCTCCTCGAATGCCTTGGATACCTTGGCGAGACGCTGCGCGAATAACTTCTCCTTGAATATCGCCGGTACCTGGGAGAAATGCTTCGTGAAATGGAACGGTATAGACTTCTTCTTCGGTAACGATCATCAGGTGAATAATCTCTATGATAGGGGGAATAAGATCGATCACGCCTGCTTACTGGTGACCTGCCACATGGGGAACGTAGCCGGGAGTACGTCTTGCGTCTGTAGTAGGCATAGTATGGAGAATATGATCTGCGCCGACTGTAGTAAGGAGAGTATGATCTGCTTCTGCTCCTTCCAGATGAATACCGACGACCATAGTAAGGAGAGTAAGATCTGCTTTTGCTTCTGCTCCTGCTATATGTCTCAGATGAATACCGAGGTGAACGGCTACTGCTTCGAGAACAACCTGGAGACCGACGATGCACTGAATGAGTTGCAAGTCAAAAAGGATGGATAAGCTAAGAGAACACAAACTGCAATTTAATATCCTAAAACCAAATGCAATCACTGTATACCATAAATTTCATACTAAACCACCATCTTACCATGAATAGTTCTCAGACCAAGGTACCTCCCTGGTGTAGGTGTTCTACCCCTTCGTCTCCTGGCCTGAACATGTGTAGACAAGGAATAAGGTCATGAAAATCACATAAATAAAAGGTTTATCCCAGACGGGGGGAACTACTTATTTGGTTAAGAGCAATATTCAAGGACAAGACTTGCCTAAGATTTGAACAACTACCAAATAACATAATAAGTAAATTGCGATATAAAAAAAGAAATGCAGGGCATACAACCCTCTGGTTAAGAGTCTGATATTTGCTTCATGTGATTGGTTTGATTTGTTAATTTGGACTTTGACGAAGAGCTGCTACACACAGCTAACCTGCTTGCAAAGAAACTTCATGGAAGAGAAGCATAGAACTTTCAAACTCGATAACAAAGGAAGTCCATGATATTAACGGTACGGTACAATAATCTGAAAATAAAGATGCAATAAGCACAACTCAGAAGATAAAGGGGATGGCAGATTACCTTCTCAATAGTTATAACCCTGCCCTCAAGCACAGAATGGTTCAAATACTTGATGCATCTATCAGCCTCCTTAACAGAAGCCATAGTCACAAAACCAAATCCACGGGATTCTCGAGACCATGGATCGATAACAAGGTGGACATCTTCTACCTGTCAAATAAGCATAAAACACAAATGAGACGTCCATCATAACAGTAGGACAGATATCACTAGGAAAAAACCACAATTATATTGTGACTCAATGGCCCTTTAACAATTTAACAGCACAAAACTCAATTTCCTTAGTGTTGAAGTGTACAAACTGATAAGAACTGATCTCAAAGTTCTCCTAATTCATTCCCTAAACATTGTAACAGAGAAATCCATGCACCATTTACATCTACAAAAGAATAAGTTGTCATGCTCTGAACAATTGGAAACTGTTCCACAAGGCTAGCAAACTATTGTAGCTCTCTGATCAAACAGAAAGGACTATGCACATTAACAAAAGCATATCATGTGCTCATCTAAAAAGTCGTTGCCTTGTATGTTTCCTTATGATTCTCAACTTTCCCAAAAACTGGGTGAATTATTTTCTCATATTACAATCCAGTTCCTGTGCTTATTTTCTTTTCTCATTAATTTCATAACCACATAAAACCACCCTTTCTGTTAGTTAAGCAACATCAGTGACCACAAAACAATTAGATAAGACCTGTTTGATGCATGATCCACATAAATTTCAACATTAAAAAACATAAAGGTACGCACAAATACAAAAGACTGCATACCGTGCCCTCAGTTGAAAAATGCTTTTCAAGATCTCTCTTTGTGACTCGGGTAGAAAGCCCCGTGACATACAAGTTGTTTCCAGGATTCTCAGCATCACTTGAATCACGACTTCTATAAGCCATAAGAAATACGAAGTCATTATGGAAACAGACTCCAATCAAATTCACAACTTAGGCCAATGTACTGTGAGTTTTGACTTTCAAATTTCTGGTCAATTTATTTTCACTGTCCAGAAATTTGGGGCTCAAAGAAGAATATATGCTCACCTTGATCGGCTCCTTGACAAGGACCTTGAAACCGACCTATCGTATCGCCTGTAAGGTGAAGGAGAAAGAGAATACCTAAAGAACAAATACCAAAAAATTGTAAATGCTTAAGATACCAAAATGGATGCAATGATCCCTTTAAGGTCCAAACCTACCTTGATCTCCGAGAGTATGACATCTGAAAGAGAAAAAAACACACAATCAGTTCCAAAAACAAACATTTCCTCTGAGAACTAATTGCTATTTCTAAAGAAATTTGATGACATACAAACCATCAACCAGGGCACAGCAAATTCCACTATGCTGACTTTAATCCCGTAACTGTGTAGCAATATTCTATGATGTCTCTAACTGAAATTTCAACCTTAACAATACTTGAATCAGATGCTACCAAACAACTACAAAATGCAAATTTCTTCAAAACTTTAGATGAAAAATCTGAAACTATTCAAGGAAGAAATCGTGAAGTCCTCTCTTCATTTCTTCCGTATATATAGAGACAAGTTTCTATCTGATATAGATACTGCATACACAATACCGAGTGTTTTACAAATCGGCAACATCATTTAACAAACCAGTTTGCAGCAATTTTACTTTTCCTAACGAATTAAATGTACCAACATCACACACACTAGTGCTCAACGAATCAAGAAACTGAATGCACAGCATATCGAATTAGCTGACAAATTCAATTATATAACACGTGCAAATAGATGCACCATGAATTCGAATGAAAAGAAAACATCTAAACCAATTCTTAGTTCTCATCAAAATTCCAGAACACATCATGCTAACACAAAAAACTTCTCTTTCATTTAAAAACAAGGAATTCCTAATTGACACAAAATTTCAATCCCAAACCAAAAAAAAAAAAGATTAAAAATCTCGATCTAATATCAGAAATGACTAACCTAGGAAAATAACCAAATTTCGAAATTTAACGCAAGGATGCCAGCTATGGATAAAAGGAAGTGAACTAACTGTTTTAACAAGACTTTTTCTGGGACCTCGAATTCTTGTTGAAGTTGCGGAGTCCTCTGATTTCTCTCTCTTCGTTAAGATCTCTCTCGAAAGTCGAAACGGAGTAAAAGAAGGCATGAGGGTGGGGGTGGGGTTGCTTATAAGCTGAAGTGGGAAGGGAAGCTTCTGGAGCAGGGAAGCTTCTGGAGCAGCGGACACGAAATTTTATCAAATGTTTCGACGTGATTCAGTTTATTGTGGGTTGTTATTTTTGGGCCGGTTGGAGAATTAGCCTGTCTCGTGGCATGTCACCTTTAACGTATTGTAGTAAGTGTTTCGTTTGAGAGATCGAGAACAAATCCACGGCCCAAACTGTCCAGTCCAAAGACAAAAGGGTCGACTTCCAGATGCCGATTGATGTTAAGTTCCTCAAGACCAAATAGGTCATGAAATGACAGCTTAAAACATAAAATTCTTTACCTGCAAAAAAAAAAATTTTAAAAAATTGTGTAGACAATTTTTGAAAAATATACAAAATAATTAGAAAAGAGAAAATTAATAATTATCAAAAGTTCGCGGATTCGATAATCATTATAGTACTGTCATATGTAGTTATTTGATAATATGAAGCTTTTTTATTGATTATAAGTCATTTTACTTTTGGCCAGTGGGCATACCGTAGGAAATTATAAAATATGATTTACATTATCTGCTGAAATTTAGCTAATTAGTCAATTCATCTTTACTCTTTAACATAACGGTGAATAGACGTGATAGTATAAAGCCAATTAATGAATTTGTATATTGAGGGATAATAAGCATAATTATTGTCAAGTTGTGAGGGACAGTAAACATGAATATTGTTGCTTGTCAGTAGATTCAGTGTAGAATCATTCATTCAATACCCGTCAGTTAAGCAACGAAGTTCATACTTTTATTTCTTATCATTATGGTAAGGAAAACAGGAATAGAAATGGTTGGATAGAGTATTATTCTAAATAAATATCTGAAATGATTACTGTAATATTTTTGTGATATGATGTATGTGAAATAAAAAGGAGATTGGAAATATAAAAGATGGATTATGAAATATGTTTATGATGCAAACGAAAAAAAAAATTTGCTATCCAAACATAGCTATGTTATTTTCTTAACTCGTGTATGTACCTTTTTCCTTTTAGCGAATATCCTTCAAAGCCTATTATCAAACGAGTGGACGGAGTTCGTGTATTAATATTTAAGAAAAATAAAGTTAAGCAGAAAAGGTGCATAAATACAATTTGTGACTTTATATACTTTTAACTTTATCCTTATTAAAGTGACTTATTACTTTACCATTTAAACATAAATTGCTAAGATAATTATGTGTGTAATTATTTTTAACCATTGTCTAACTGTCTCTAAATATTGTAATCACCATAATAACCATTTTTTGATGGGAAAAAAAGTTAAAATCTACAGTTTGCTTTGTTAATGAAAAATTTATGTAAAATTAATTCAAGAGGAAACATTTCTTAATTGTACTCACATCATGGGTGTCTTTGGCATTAGTTATATTTCATTATTACGTACATTCACATGTTTTGGCGTTAGTTATATTGATTATTAAATATATATACATTCACATGTTAGGTTGGGCGTGATTTAATTTAAATGAATCAAGGATAAATTATATATGGTTTCCTATGATTTCATTTATTATCATATGACCCCCTCTTAACATTTTAAAATGCCTACTTCACTCTCTATAAATTTATGTACAGGGAAAGCTTGAAGAAAAAAAGCTTATGTAATGTCATTATTTGAAATATTAATAGCGTCGTTACTTAAATACTAAATCAATCGATAGTTTATAAATTGGATATTTATACAAATTATAAGAAGGTTGCATGAATATTAAAATTTTATCACACGTGATTTTTAAGTGCATTTGGTATAAATGCATAACTGTTGTGCATTCCGTTCATTTTTCATTTTATATGACCGAAAAGTTTTGTGTCTATTTGAAAACCTCAAGGGAGTCATTTGACATTATGTAAAATCACAGGTGATAATAAGCAAATTACCCATGAATTAATGAACTACTAACGCGTGTACTGTTACAAAGGTGCAACCGAGCCAGGGACTTCCACTTTGGGGAACACATGCACTTGTATATTTCTCAACATAAGTAGAAAACGTCCCAACAGAATTCAGTCGAAACTTTCGTCGTCCTCTCACGTGCCCGGCGTGTGGATTAGAACCATTCATTCCTTCGCGCCATGCGCGCTGGCTTCCCACCTGGCCTCGCTGCCAGAATCCCATGTGCTTCTGCTGCATTCTCCTTTCCCGCTGCCTTGTCTCTCAGCTGTCCTCTCTCTTTCTTCTGACATTTTTTTCCGCCTTTTCTCTTTCTCTTCTTTTTTTTTTCCTCCTGCCTTGTCTCTCAGCTGCTCTCTCTCTTTCTTCTGACATTTTTGTTGCCTTTTCTCTTTCTCTTCTTTTTTTCCCCCCTGCCTTGCCTCTCAACTGCTCTCTCTCTTTCTTCTGTCATTTTTTCCACCTTTTCCCTTTCTCTTCTTTTTTCTTTTTCTTTTTTTCCCCCCACAACAATGTTGCTCTGGTACAGAGCTTTGTTGCGGTGTGGTATTCTGTTGTCTTCTTACCGCCCAATGAGCTACCGCCTTCGCTACTGGCTGCATCGATCTGGATCTTCTGCCGTCCGAACGCTTTTCGTCCTCCTTCGTCGCGAGCTTTCACCTTCTTCTCCTTTCCAGTGAGCTCCGATCTTCTCTGTAAGCTTCCTGTTTTCCTCCCCCCCCTCTCTGGCGCTCGTATTTTTTTTCGCCCCTTGTCTAATGTCGTGCAGTTTTTTTTTTTGTTTCTCATCCACGATTCTCTTCTCACTGACAGAGAGGTCCCGTCTTCGTTGTTGGTTGCTGGTTTAGGATCTTATGCCGTTCGCCTGAGTTCTCTTCCTCCTCTTTCGCCGTAAGCCTTCTTCTCCTTCCTCTCCAGTGGAATTGCTTTTTTTGCTACGAGCTTCTTCTGTTCCCTTTTTCCCTTTGCCTTGAATTCATTTGTGCTGTGCTTTGTCTTAGTGAATTGTTCATTTTTTATAGTTCTTAGTGAACTGTTCATTTGTGCTGTGTGGGGGAACCTTGTCTTTCTCTTGTGTTCTTGCGCTGTGTTAGGTTCTCTGTGCTTGCTGGCTCAGTACGGCTAGCAAAGGCCTTTTCTATGTCTCTGTCTCCCTTGTTCTCATATGCTGTTTGTTCCTTGTTTTTTTCTTATCTAGGAAAAATGGTCCTCGTCGTGTCTGCCTGGATGCGTTGAAACCGTTATCTAAGAAAAACCGTTATCTAAGAAAAATGGTCCTCGTCGTGTCTGCCTTGATGTGTTGAAACCGTTATCTAAGAAAAACTCAGTGTCTTCTGCCTAAAAAAACCTCCTAAAAAAAAAAACTTCCTCTGTCTGCCTTTCTTGTTCACGTCCGCTATTTTAGGCCCTGCAAGATGCTTGTGTTTTTTGCCTTTTGTTAGTTACCAGTTTCTTAATCTTCACATCAAAAACTGTGGCCCAACAATCATGCTTATCTTTCCACCTTCTTCATAAGAAGTTCCAATACCGATTATTATTTATAGTCGCCTGTGCATAATCTTTTTCTTCTATTACATTACACGTAATAGAGCTCAATTTGTTAATATACATAGCCATGATTAAGTGGTGCACATGATAGCTGACAGTGTCCATTTTGCTTTTCGTTTTCAAAGGAGACTCCAGTTTATAAAAGGCCAAAAAAAAAATGAAAGAAGTTAGGGCTTTGCTAATCAAACCTTAGACCTCACAGCCACTTGATTAGCGTTTTCACTAATTAACTTACATTTTTTATGTTCCAGTTTAGGCCTTGAACACGTATTAGAGGATTTGGTAATGGTTGTTACTTAGAGAAATAAATGATAATTATTTGTGATGCTACGGTCCATACGCTATTGAATCTTGCCATTTTTTGCCCCAGGTCCTAAATGTTTGGTCCACAATTAGACTAGGCTGGAACTTGATAAGCTTTTAAACTTGTCATTGTGCATATTTTGCTTTTGCCTTTATAGGAACATTTTCTATGTAATTGTGAATCACATTCCCAGGGAGAAAATGTTCTGTATGTTTTCGCTTGTATGTTTTCTTGGTTTTCCCCCCTCCATTGCTTCGGTGGAAAAAATAATTTAAGTTCCTTCAGTCCACAATGCTACTAAATTAGGAAATTAGTCAAATCTCGTTTGTTATATAGTCACAAGTGAGGAAATTAATTTGAGGTTAATCTCTGCAATAAATCAAACAGGGTCAAAGTTAAACCACCTCAAATTGTCCATCATCGGTACAGCTTTTGAGGAATGTTTGCTTGGCTAAATAATATATTGTTGTTGCGAATTGGCCAGAACTGTCAAATGAATCTCTTTTTAACATTTTCTTCTAAAAATTTTCTTGATGAAAGCTAAAAAGTTTGTCAGTTCAAAACTAACTGATCTTTCAGCAAAGTTGTTGTTGTTTTAATATGCATGATTAGGATTGATCATTACATATTGGCAAAAGTAACTTATTTTGATGCAGTACTGATAGGTATACGGTCATGTTGACATCTTGCATAGCACGTATTCAGGTTGAGTCACTAGGTCAAATGAATGTTTAAGTTTCACAGTTTGAGGTACCTCCTCTTAAATGCTCTGACCCAAGGCCTAATCATGATATTTTATCTGTTTACCCGTAGCGGTCGTGGATATCTTGTTCCAGACGATGTCTACAAGGTAATAGTTTGCAGATGACCTTTTTCTTGTATTCCCTTCTAGAGAAAGCATTGCATTTAGTTTCAGCTGGTCAATACATGTTTCTACTACTCCTTTTCTTCCGCCAGCCATCAATTTGAAAAGTACGCTATCCATGATCAATGTTTTCAGGGGTTGGTGAAGATTGGAATTCCACTTGACTCTCCTACATTCTACACTGTCTGCGAGGTATGACAATACTGTTATCTTGTTAAGTGCCTAGATTTTATCAAAGTTAGGATTTTGAACATGTTACAGAAGTTGGAGGCAGATTCACCAATAGGTAAGGCATTAATATTTATAGTACTGTTTACTATGATTGTTAGGTGTAAGTTTCACAATACAATTGGATAAATGTTTGAGTTCTGATGATATTCTTTTATTTACTTGTGAGGTGATGTGAACTGCACCCTCCCCTCCCAACAAAAAAGGCTAATTAGGATGGAGATTGAGCAAACTTCGTGTATGTTACCTTCTATTTTATATACAATCTCCAGTTTCTCTTAGAATAGTGAGGATTTACATGCATATAGCAAACCTGTTACCTTTGAAGTACTCTGATGTTCAACTGAGTTGTGTTTTTAAATGATCTGAACAGTGTGTGTTTCAATGATTTGACACTCAACCGATTTGTGTCTTAATGATCTCACACTTTGCCACTCAACTGATTTGACCTGTTATCTAAATCTTCAGTTTCTGAACACTTATCATGATTTGTGTTTTAATGATCTGAGGGTTCGGAGCCAACTTGCAGTTGATGTGCTCTGACTAATTTTTACCTGGAGTTTCCTTGTGCTTTATGTGCTCTGACTAATTTTTACCTAGAGTTTACTTCCGCTTGTTGACACATGGAAATGTTCATGTTGTAGGCTGAAAAAGCTGCTTTTGATGAGGCAGAAAATAAGAGAGAGGAGGAGGTACTTTTCATTAATTCTCCTCTGTTGCATAATGTCTTGAGTACATTTGAATTCCATTTCTGTGTAGTTTGGACTTTGGACTTCCTTTATACTGCATTATTTGAATAGTGATCATTTGATTATGAAGAGACAACTTATATCTCAAACTCCTGTCTGGTTTTGTTTCAGGAAGCAAAGGATGACCCAGTTGATTCTGATGTAAGTTCCTGACTAAAATGTTGTTCTCAAAAGATACTCTTTTTGCTCCAGATTTTATTTGTGATATGTTCTTATTGCATGCACTTTCTTATTAGGCTGAGGAAGGCGATGATGATGATGCTGCTGATGAAGCAGATAGTGATGATGCAGACCCCAAATCAGAAACAAAGGAAGATGTTACTGCCGCAGCTGAGGAAAATGTTAAAGTTAAGGCTTGTCTGATCTTTCAGTGTTGAGTTCACTATGATGACTTGTTATCAGAAATTTGAATTGTTTTAACGCTCTTACTTCCACCCTTTTGCAGAACGAGCTGTAGGAAAATACGTACGAGTGCAGTTGTTGGCCGAACATGGTGCTGCGAAGAAGAGCTTTATTGGCAACTGAGCTTTGGACATTTTCATTTTCCTTTTAGCTTTTAACTGTATAATTGCTGTTTAGGGGAAAAAAAGGATATGGAGGCTGCATGAACTTGGTGTTGCGATACTTCTTTATTCTCATCTGGCTCAGCCATTAGAACCAAAAGAGAAACATGCCTGTTTTAGTTTTAGATTTATGAACAGTTGGACTTGGAACATTAGCATTGTTAAGATTGATTTATTTCGTAGCTTTCAGCATTAGTCTGACATGGATGCTCTTTCATGTTTTGGAATTAAAGCCCCATCCCGTCAATTTGTTAACTAAGCTGTAAAACTAAAACCCCTTCCACAACCGTTGGCCAGCTTTGACCCTTTGAGAAAGTGTAAATTATTTCCCCCGTTCTGATTATTCCTTTTCTTAACATTAGTCCTTAAAATTTTTTTATTAATAAACGTATGATAAGTTGGTACCATAGTAACACAGGAATAGCCTTTTATACAGTGACTATGTTACATTGAAAAATATAAATTTAAGCTTAAAACTTACAAGCCAATAACTAGCATTCAAATACTTTTAATAATAGGCCTAAATAAAATACAAAAAATGTTAGGACTTAAGAAAACACTGCAATTCTATACCACCTATTAATGACACTCAAAATCAAAATGGAAGCTAACAAAAACGTATGATAAAAAAAGATAAATATTTGATGGAATGACAATATTAAAATGAATTTATAATTTTTTTAAAGTCTGTTATTGTTTACCTCTCACTACTAAATAAGAATAATGCATTACAAAATTAATAGTTTAGATGTAATAGACATAGAAAAAAAATCTCAATAACAAAGTTCGTTTCTACCTTTCCTTATGTATAATTTGCTACTCGTCCTTCTATGCTATGATCGTACTACTTTTGTTAGCTTCGTTTTCCTCTTTTTTTCTTGATCTACCTCGTCATACTAAGCTGGGCATTCACAGATTCATCCCTACCGCGCGACGCGCGGTTATTGCCTCCTAGTCCTGCTGAAACCGCGAAACCCAAAACAAAACAATAACGCTACAAACCGCTCCAGTGGAGGAAGCCAGGAAGGAATATGAAGTGAGCAATCGCACGGCACGAAGCAAGCAGGCAGGAAAGCAAAAGAAGTTGGCGCAAGTTCACTTTTTGAAGCAAAATGGACCGAATCGAGGCTGGACAAGAGATGGCTTTCCGGGTTGGATTCACCGGCCACAGCGGTCATCTCACGATAGAGCCTCTTCCTCCGGTTCAACGGTCCACTCCTCTCAGTTCACTCCCTGATTTCATACTCGTAATGCTTCTGCTGACAGCTACTCTTCTCATATACTGAACAATAACTAACTGTAATTAGGTTAGACCTACTCTTAGCTAATAATTTTAGTTTCGTCATTTTTTAGCTTCGAAATTTTGGTCATGGTATGTGAATTCGTTAACTAGGGTTTATGTTAATTCATGGAACTATATGACTACTTGTAGTTGTGCCCAGAACCAAGCCAAATTATTTAGGACAATTATATTATACATTTAGTTGGGCATTGGTTAGTGATATAGTTGTCGCATTTTGGAAATTATATCCCCACGGGCTAGTCAATTGGTAATTTACCTAGGAAACCACCCCCCCCCACACACACACACACAACAAAAAAAAAAAGACAACAGTATGTCGGGGCTTATTACTGGAAGGCTTTTAGAGTATATTGTTGAAAATTGCAAAAGCAGTATCTCATAAAGATGGAAGGTTAGCAGCTTTTGTGGTAAATTTAGTGGTAGTGTTTGCAAGAGTAGTTAGTGTTTTTGGTAACAAGGAAGTTTGAAGTGAATTGGGATCGGGCCAGCATGCACACTCATTAATGTTAAAGGGATGTTTGAAAGCAAAATTGATTGTTGGACCCATGCTTGTGTACCTATTCCGCTACTAGTGAATTGGTATTTGCTAGAGATCTCAAAGCTAACTCTTAAGTAAAGACTGTTGACAAGGAGTAAAGCAGAAGTAGAAGCAAAGCTAATACATCACTTTGCGCAAATTTTGAGAAAAACACCTGTTATATGAGACAAACTTTTTGGGACAGAGGCAGTGTAAAGAGTTATGGAACCAACATACCACTTTGAGTATTTTCATCCACGAAGTGGATTATAAAATGCATGGTTTGTGAATTTGTAGTTTGACATCGATATTCCGTATAATCCTGCTAAACAACCATTCAAATGCAGCATCCCCCTTGATTACATGGCCTCCCTTTATCAACTCTCAGGAAGTTGCTAAGTATATATACTTCTCAATTGCATTTTGTGATCTATAATTGCCTTTTACTAAGGAAATGGTTCAGTTGTAATTAAGAACAAATGTATTTCCCCCACAAAAAAGGAAAGTATTTTACAGAAATGTAGGAGTTGGAAATATTATGATGCAAAAGAATAAATTCTAAGTGGTCTTATACTGATTATTCAGGGTCCCAGGTTGGTCAAATCGCTGTTCTTTTAGAGAGGATATATTTAAGCTGTTGGTTCCTGCTTTTTTTCCTTAACAAAGCCATTATGATCCTTATTAGACTTGCAATTTATAAGGTTTTCTTTTCTTGGCCGGCGTTTTTTTTGGGGTGGGGGGTGGGGGGGGGAGGTGGATTTGTATATTAGTAATTCTGGAACATTCAAACCAATCTCTTTTATCTCAGCCTCCTGCATTTCCACGGGAAACGCCAGAATCAATAAAAGAATATATAAAGGAAACGCATCTACTCCCAAGGTTGGATCCTGACGAGTTTTCTGCAGAAAAATCTGGAAAGCAATGGGAATTTGATTGGTTCGACAGAGCTAAAATTCCATTGGAGCCTTCTTTGCCTCGGTCTATAGTTATTCCAACATGGGAATTACCTTTTAGACGTACAAAAAGAAGTTCTGGGCATGATATATGGGAGCCTAGATCAGAACAGGTATTCAAGTTTCTGCTTCCTTCTTCTCCTTTGATTGTAGATCACCTTTAAGTAGTAGCTTGCTATCCCATTCAACAATGTTACTGAGAACTAGTCCTCACTTGGTTCAATGGAAATTTGCAAGTCCTAAGCAGACCTCAAAGTTTCCAATCCTTTGAGTGTTGCATTATAGCTGCTAAATGTTTCTTTGTTTTGGAGTTGAGTTGTGATTATGTTGCAGGTAGATATAGCAGAACTTACAGCAGGAGCTGAGGATTCTGGTGTATTGCCACGTATTGTTGGACCTGCAAAAGATTATGTAAAAGGAAGCCTCAGCAGCCATCCTTTTCGTCCAGGTGGCTTGGAGGATTCTCATTCTTTGGGGAGGATCCTTCCTGATGGTGCTGTCAATGGTGAATGGGTATGGGAGGTACTTAATGGAGGTCCTGCACAATCTATTGCGCCGAGCTTTAAGGATGGTCTGGATCTAGGTGATCTCAGGGTAATGAGGGTTGATTTGTTTAGATATTGGAAAGCTTCTGCTTCAAATTGCAAGTTTTATTCTTTATAGCTATTTCATTAATTCTAATGCCATGTCTTCTTTGTATATTTAATAAATCAAGGCACACTCAAGTTCATGGAACGTTTTTGTGGATCAGAGTGATGTTAAGCCCGTGCAAGATGTGAAATTGGTCAGTTTTTTGTTTGAATTGCATACGTTATGGTGTTGAGCCTGTGATTCTTTAGGCGTGCATGCTTGGGGCTGCATGACTTGTTGAACCTGAATGATAATTGTTTCTACTTCATTTTCTTTCTTGTTAAATTATCTTTTTTCCGTGTTATCTGCAGAATGATTTGTCTTTGCAGTTTGATGACTTGTTTAGAAAAGCTTGGGAAGAGGATGTGTCAGGTTATGCTGCAGATGGTCAGTATTCCACAAGTCAATGTTCTGGTTCTAATTTGGTCCTGTTTTTGAAGTGCAATTTCTTGGAAAAGATCTTGTTATTGAACACTCAAGCTACTGGGCATTACCTTGCTTCACTTTACCTGTTAAAAAAGAGACATGTCCTACTCTGACCTTAGATATCTGGAGCATCTATAAAATCTGAAGCTCTGAAGAAAAGTTTCTGTCTTGTCCTCAATAAGTTTATAGAATCTGAAATATTTAAGAAAATACCAACTATATCCACCCTTTGTGAATTTAGTATACAGCTTTGGACTTAATTCAGCATTATATTCTTAAACTTGATCAGTAGTCTTTCCAACTTCTTTATTGATGCGTTTTGCTCAGGTAAACCTCTATACATTGTGGTTCCAAAGTGATCCCTAAAAATTGGAAGCCTTTACGCTGTGTCTTTTAATCTCGAAAAAAGTTTTGCATCAATCTGGTGGCCAATTTAGTCATGTTATCTGACCATCAATGTGGAAATATTGATTAAAGCATTTCTAGGGCGTATATTTGTTCATGTGACTACTAAACTTCTGTTTGACATTGATTGAGTGGAAATATGAATGCTGACCTCCTCTTTATGTGAACACCAATTTAAGCTTTAGAACTGAAGATCATAATTTTGAGCTTGTTATTTGCTCTTCTCCCCCCCCCCTCTCTCCTCACTTTGGTTCTTAGTCTTTCATTCTCTCTCTCACACAGAGATGCTTGTGATACTGTATGTAGGTGACACATCAAAGGTCCAAGTAGAAACAAAAGAATTAGGCTCTGTTGAATCAGAGTCAGAAACTAATGTAGATAATTCTTCAGTGGCCAGTAATATTGCAAAGATTGAATCATCTGTTTTGGATGAGGTATTGTCTGCTGAATTACAAGCAACAACTACAATCCTCAATGGAGATCAAGATGGTAGCATTGAACAGCCAAAAAAGGTAGAGATTTATCAGAGTGGCGTTGAACTGCTTATTTTTCTTATGTGAACTTTGTAAATATGAAAGCATCGCCTGTAATGTTCTTGGTGAAGTCCTACCTGGTGTGGTTGCTGGTGCATTGCTCAAGTAAAAAATGAAAAGATATGTAAATGTCGAACAATTGAAACTATTCTTTTCTTTGACAAAATTGTTGAATAAAATACTTGCAGGCATGGGTTGTCAGTGGAGCCAGTGGAAAGATAGTGGAACAGTTTCATGAACTTGTTCCTGACATGGCACTTAATTTTCCGTTCGAATTGGATCCATTCCAAAAGGAGGTAATAGTTTTTGCATAACTCATTTTTACTTTTGTATGCACGTTTCTTTTATAATTATTGTGGTTGAATACACTGGGATTCATAGATTAGGAGTTAAAGCCTCTTCTGTATTTACTATTTAAGCAGTTTTTTTGAATAGATATCTGTTTTCTTCTGAACATAAACATTTTAACTGAAGAATAAAACTCTGTTTTGTGGACAACTACTGGGAGGACTAGCTTGGTCTCATTTTTAATTAACTTATTTGTAAGCTAGCTCATTCTCGGAACAAGTTCCTAGAAGAGGTTTTTTTTCCTTAACTAAGCAAAAAGTTTTCTAACACAGTTAACGGTGTAATTCTTGAAAGACTGTTTCTTTGCAGCAGAAGTAGTTTTGATTCTGAACTGTGTCAATTACAGGCCATCTATTATCTTGAAAGGGGAGACTCTGTTTTTGTGGCAGCTCACACATCTGCTGGAAAGACAGTTGTTGCAGAGTATGCATTTGCTTTGGCAACAAAAGTATGACGTTTTTGGCAACTTGTGCTATGTTACCCCTTAATTCTTATTACAAGGACTGCTTCTTGTCTATCATGGGGACTGATATTTGTAAAGCACCTTATGCTAATTTGTGCTCTGCTTTCCTGTTGAAGAACTTGACTTGCTGATGTTTTGCAGCATTGCACGAGAGCTGTATATACTGCTCCCATCAAGACCATCAGTAACCAAAAGTACAGGGACTTTTGTGGGAAATTTGATGTGGGTCTTCTCACTGGTGATGTCAGTTTGAGGCCAGAGGCCTCTTGTCTTATCATGACTACAGAGATATTGAGATCAATGCTCTATCGTGGTGCTGACATCATACGTGACATAGAATGGGTAAGTCTAAACTGCTAGAACATTGTAGCGCTACACTGTGTGAAAAGTATATGTGGCGGATGTTTTTTCCCTTCTGTCAATTTGTGTTCCTTTGCTGTTGTAAGCTTTACTTCCTTTCGAGTTATTCTCCTGACAATTGTTTATTTCTTTGTTGTTATTGAAATGGAAGGATAGGTAATATTTGATGAAGTTCATTATGTGAACGATGTTGAAAGAGGTGTTGTTTGGGAAGAAGTTATTATCATGCTCCCCAGGCATATTAACTTTGTCCTGCTCTCAGCCACGGTATGTCTTGGTGTCAATTTTGATTTGCACTTAATAATTTCACACAATTTTATAGAAAAGAACGAGTTTTCTAACTCTATCCCTAATGTTATTGTGTTCATCACTTGCAAAATTGTCAACTTGCTGCACAAATGTGTCAATATATTGTCAGCTGTTCATACTGTACGTTATAAAGTAGGTTCAAGTGCGTGGTAGATAAGTAGAGTTGAATAGGTGAAGATTTATATGTGAGCTGTGGCTTATGATGCATAAAATGAGGTGTCTTGCTTATGATGGTTTCTATTGAGGTACAAGTATCTCAGCTCTCCATTGCCATGTGGATGGAATTTCAAACTGTTAGTGCCTGGCTATGTTGTGATCAATAAAATAAATGAGCTGTTGTTTATAATGGTTTTTATTGAGGTACAGGTAGCTCACCTCTCCTTAACCCTGTAAAATGAAATTTCAAACTAGTATTGGCTAGATTCTATAATAATTGTGCATTTAAATGCCTTGTTTCAGGGCACTTTTGGAGTGTGCATTAAGATTAAGATTGCGGGTTCAATAGGTCTATGTTCAATTTATTTTTCTGCAATTTTGCAGAAGGAAGTTATCTGTTGATAGTTTATGGTGTCAATCAAAAGTTTGCTACTTGCTATCAATATTGCTTAGGTTTCATCCTGTTACCATGGAAGCAAATTTATCTGCTGAACTGCAATGCAGCCATATTTCCGGAGATCCAGAAAGAACCTAGATATGCAGTAAATAGCCTCTTAAGGAAGATAAAATTCTTGAATAGTATTGACATCTCCAGCTTTTCATTATAAAGAAGCTAGAAAAATTTTCCAAATGCTTCAATATAATCAACAACTGAGCTCCTATTTTTGATAACTTCTTTTGAGGAGGAAATTTTGGTTCGGAAATGTACTGGTTTGTTACTTTTGTATCTTTACCTCTTATTTTTGCACCTGGAAAGCTTAGATGCCAGTACTCTTATCATGTTGTATGAAAGGTTAGGTGAGGCCTGTGATTTTATCCTTTGTTTCTGAAGTTATACAAGTGCTAAGTAGATTGTGTTATTTTCAAATAAAGGTGAATGTTTATATGTTTGAACAAATAGAAATTTTAAAAGATAGCTTATATGGTACATGATACATAAACATTTTAATGTTCTGCTATCTTATATACCACCCTACCTACCCTATCAAAAGAAGAAGACAGGGTGAATAAATGTGGAAAAACTGTAAGCTTAAGTAACAATTACTGTACATTTTTCCTTGAGGTTGCTTGATTTTCTTCAATATTTATTTCTGATTCACATGGATTTTTCATTTTTGTTTAATATATACGATAGATAGGAAGATTGCTTCTTGATCCACTTTTAGCTTTTACAGACTTCTTCTAAAACTTTTGTCGACTTTGATCCTTCAATGGAAAAATGGCAAGCGTATGTCAAATTCTGCTGATGGTTTGGCCTTAGATAGCTTTCTCCTTGGCATGTGAAAAAATGCTCTTTCTGGAAACTGCTTTGACAACACTCAGTTTCCAATGAGAAGCCTTAATTGATCTTCTCTGTTAAGTATTGTGCATTGCGTGGTGCTTAGTTTTGTCAACTGAGATCTCTCAGAAGAGATTTTATGTTTTTATCTCTGTAGAATGTTCCTTGAACCTTTTTTCTGCTCTTCACACTTCAATGTGGTCTATGTATTGAATTGTGCTTTCTAGGTACCAAATACAATTGAGTTTGCTGATTGGATTGGTCGGACAAAGAAAAAGCAAATTCGTGTGACTGGGTTAGTAGCATCTCTTCTTTAATGGGTCACACATGATACAAACTTGATCATTGTTAAATTCATTTTCTCATTCCCTGTGCTCCCCTTAGGTTAGCAGATTGAGATACTTGGTAGTTAGAGTTTTCTCAAGTTACTGTATGGGACTTTTTTTGTTTATCAGGACAACAAAGAGACCTGTCCCTTTGGAGCACCACCTCTTTTATTCTGGAGAGCTTTACAAAGTCTGTGAAAACGAAGAGTTTGTGCCTAAAGGACTGAAAGCTGCCAAAGATGCTAGTAAGAGGAAGACCACAAGTGCTGTTGCTGGTGGAGCTGGATCTTATCCTGGGTCTTCTCCATCCAATGATAGGGCTCGAGCTCACAGGCATGAAAGTTCTCATCAGGGAAAACAGACCAGGCATTCTGGATCCCAGAACTTAGGGAACTCTCGGGCTGTCTGGGGAAACCAGAACAATGGCCTTGGCCCTAATACAGGGTTGAGGAGATCAGAGGCTACAATGTGGCTATCGCTGATTAACAAGCTGTCAAAGAAATCCTTGTTACCTGTATGTGTGCATATTTGGATTTTATATAGAATTTGGAGTATATCTTTGATTATAAGGAACTTATATGCTGTTGGTGTCACATAGTGCAAGTAGAGAAGAATCAATTTTAATTAGAATATTCCAGATAATTTCTTTTCTAGTCAGTAAGAAAGTCTCATTATCACATGCTGATTTTAAATGCATGCGATCAAATAAATTCAACTTTTCTCTTGTATAGTTTGCAGTAGTGGTCAGGCTAAATTTGAGCATAACTGCTAATTGAGTTTTTTTTTCTTTTTACCTCAATTCATCTGCTCAGGTGGTTATGTTTTGTTTCTCAAAGAATCGGTGTGATAAATCAGCTGATAGTATGACCACAACTGACCTTACAACTAGTTCGGAGAAAAGTGAGATTCGGATCTTCTGTGATAAAGCATTTTCACGGCTAAAGGGGTCCGATAGGAACCTACCACAGGTGCTGTATAATTGGAAACCTTTTACCTGTATATCCAACGTGTTATTAACAGATTTTCCAGAGTTCAAAAACTTCTTTTAGTGATACAGATTGTCAGAGTTCAAAGCCTTCTTCACCGGGGCATTGGTGTGCATCATGCTGGACTGCTTCCAATTGTCAAGGAAGTAGTTGAAATGCTTTTCTGTCGTGGTTTGGTCAAGGTAAGTAGTTTACTTGTAGAAGCATAGTTTCTTTACCAGTGGTTTGCTTGCATGCATGTTATTCAATGCTTGATCCCAGAAATTAGGCCAACTTAGATGATCAACTATGGACACTGGTGTCCTACCAGAAAATTGGCAGGGATACTAAAGACATTGGTTGACAGATCAAGATCTACAAATTGGTTCTAGGCGATTTTGAAGATATAAAATATAATTTTTTGAAGTTATTTGGTAACTGTTAAAAGAAATAAGAAGTGCTGCATATTGAGAAGACAATGCAAGAAGTATTGATTAGTTTGTGAACTATTAATATGTGCAAAGCACAAAGAAAAGGATTGTCAAACATTTATCAAAATTTCCAATTCTTTTATTGTTTAAATGTTTAAAGATTTGAAAATCCAGATAAAGTAGTTATTGATATGAACTTGGGAGCATTTTGCCTCGAGTGAAATTAGGATGTAGATGAGCAAAAGTAGAACAAGAAATCTTCTTGGACAATCATTTACCTTTGATTACTTATCAGTATGGTGGGAGGGATCGTAATAACAGAATGATGCCCAAGTGATGATGAAATTCTTGAAAGCTTACAGATTGCTGAAATCTTTGATGGTGGTTTAGGTTAATTATGAAATTGTTGTTTTTGGCGTCACTGCTCGCTGTTTATTTCTCAGGCAGGGTTGGGGTGTCATTTGGATAAACTATTTTCTTTCCACAGGTTTTATTCTCAACTGAGACATTTGCAATGGGAGTGAATGCCCCTGCAAGGACAGTAAGTGAACATCCATTCCTGCTATTGGTAAAATTACATTTATCTTCCTGAGATTTTTCATTTGACTGCATTTTAAAGTGTGCTGGTTTGTTGTACCATTAATTGACCCTTAAAGTTTGTATAGTTCTTGTCTTTACTTCTACCTTTCTGATGTTCATGTTTTTATTTGCATGTTATTGTTGTTTGAGAAGCAGTTTTGATCTGTAAGTCAATAGCTTTAGAGAATTTGCTTCCACACTTCCCATAGAAGTAAATTACACGTCTGGTAGCAGGTTATTCATGGTAACATAGCCAAGCATTGGTTCTAAGTCAACTCTGTAATTTTCTGTTCATTTGTCACCCATGCTTCAAAGGTAATTACTTATGCGTTAGTACATGGTGGGTTTCTAATTGCATAATACTTCCAAGCTTTTTCTGTTGAATTGTGTTCTGTAAATCTCGCACTTACTGTCTCCCTAAAAAATTGTGGTAATTTTTTATTGCTGATGTTACCCTTAAATCTAACTATGTATCCAAACTCAAATCCAGGTTTAATTTGTTTTAAAGATTGTTTGTGATAAATGATTGTTGCCCAGTGCCATGACAAGGATTTTGGATCCACAACATTTGAACTGTGGGTTTGATAGGAGGGTGGCTTGATTAGTTTGGGATGTAACCAAATCAATGGCCATTAAAATACGGATTTAGTTTGGCGCTCTTTTTTCTTACCTTGGTAGAGTTCATTCTTAAGGATTCGATCTGTAGGATCTACTACTCTTCCAATTAGTATGGATTTGTGAAACAGTCTCTCTTCTTACTTTACTCTGTGTGTGCATTTACCAACCCTGTTTGTGGATCATTGACCATGTACATTACCTATTTGGCAGGTGGTGTTTGATACTTTAAGGAAGTTTGATGGCAAGGAATTTAGACAGTTACTCTCGGGAGAGTATACTCAGATGGCTGGTCGTGCTGGGAGGAGAGGACTGGATGAGACTGGTACAGTTATTGTCATGTGTCGTGATGAAATCCCCGATGAGAGAGATCTAAAGCCTGTGATAGTTGGTAGGCCAACTAGGCTTGAATCTCAATTTCGACTGACCTATATCATGATCCTGCATCTCCTCCGTGTTGAAGAACTGAAGGTATATAACATATTACTTAATCAAGGTTATTAGTAATAGATGTGTCCTCACTGAAGTTGCTGCTTTAACCAGTTTCTTGTTGACACATACAAATACATAAAGATCTGTCATAATAGAAAATAGGAATCCCTAGTATTGCAATGTTAGCCAGTACACTTTCAATTGGCAAATTTTCTTTTCATATTTTCCCCTTGTGTGATATTTTGCAATTATTTGCCAATTGTGTTCATGATTTCCTCCTAGTCAACTATCTCAGCAGCAGAGCTTAACTTCTAATTCCTGTACAATTGAGCGAATAGCTTCAAAGTTTATGCAAACTGAATGACATGTCCAGAAAAATTTTAGCCATTGCCCAAATGACACTGCAGGGAAATTTTAGCTTTAGCCTAAATTTTAAGTTTCTCTTTTATGAGTAGATTGTTAGGGCAATGTTAATAGAATTGGTTTGTGCTGTGGTCGGTCCTGTACATCATTGGCAGAATATCAAGATCTAGGAGATATGTAGGTTACATTCTTTAACAGTTGGCAAATTTTACATGATAGGTTGATAATATCTCACTGTTAGCTCTAAAATGGACCTCCATCTAAAGCCAACATTTTATGTCCATCAGCTTGATTTTTTCTGGAATGGTACATTATTGGGTACATGGATTGAGCTTTTTGGTTAGTAGTTTGGGATATTGGGTGATGGCTTTATTTCTCAGTAGTGGTTATAGGTTAAATTTGCTTATCTGTTTCGAAAAATTGCAGGTGGAGGATATGCTAAAAAGAAGTTTTGCTGAATTCCATGCTCAGAAAAAACTTCCCGAGAAACAGCAACTTCTAATGCGAAAGCTTGCCCAGCAAACAAAAACTATTGAGTAAGGACACAGCGAAGAGTATCATGGTAGAAATTTTGCAACTAGGGCTATTTAGATATTCTTTTGCATGCATTTGTTTCATTGCCAACCCTTGCCAGGAAAATAATGTGGTTGTGCCTATCTTAGTTTTCGTTGTAAATACCATTTATATGCATTATTAATGCTATCCTCCCCACCCCCCTTTCTGTTGTGAGCAAATTAAAGACTATGATCACGTGTGTGTACCTTCCTTGCAAGTGGATCACTTGTGCCACTTTATATAGGGTTTAAATAAACTTCTGTGTTGCATTTAGATGCATAAAGGGTGAACCAGCAATAGAGGAGTACTATGAGATGTCCTCAGAAGCTGACACACATAGCACCAAGATAGTGGAGGCAGTCATGCAGTCCCCTGGCTCCCAGCATTATCTTAGTCCTGGAAGAGTGGTGGTTGTAAAATCAGAGTCAGTAAGTTCACATTCCTAGTTCTTACCTTCACCATGGTGAAAATTACTACTTGTATCCTTCTCTGTTATCCTTTAGAATTTTGTTCCTCCTTTCTATTTGTTGATTGTCTTCATAGTTCCTTGTTAGAAAGGTAATTTTTTTTTTGGATGTTATTCAATCTGTTGCCGTGCATGAGTTTCAAGTCCTAAGGACTCAATGCCCAGGACCACTTATGCCTCATCACTGGTAGTTACTAGATTCTTGGACTTGATTGTTTTACCTTTTTGATAGATGCTTGAAATCAGGTTTTAGTCAAATCTTTGGTTGTCTTTCCGGATTGCCTTGACAAAATTTGTTATTCATTAGTAGCTTAAAGTTGCTTAGCTATAATGAGACAGATACAGGTCATTTGCTTTTTCTAATGGAACAATGATTTTTGGCCGAGTTTAATAGATCTTTAACTCATGGGGTAACATTAGTTGGATCACATGAGTGTGGCAGCATTCCAAAATTTGCTGACATTTTTCCATTCCATTGGCATCTGGCAGGCCCAGGATCACTTGCTAGGCGTTGTTGTGAAAGCACCTTCTTCTAACAATAAGCAGTACATAGTTTTTGTGCTGATGCCTGAATTGCCTTTGACATTGCAAAACCCATCAGATAGTAGCAACTTGAAGGATGATAAAGGTGCTGGTTTACAGATATTGATACCTAAGTCAAAACGTGGTCTGGAGGATGATTATTATTCTTCAGTCACTTCTCGGAGAGGTTCAGGTGTTGTCAACATTAAATTACCTCATCGTGGTACTGCTGCTGGGATGAATTATGAAGTTCGAGGAATTGATAACAAAGAGTTCCTTTCAATATGCAACTGCAAAATAAAGATTGATCAAGTTCGACTTCTGGAAGATGTCAGTGCTGGAGCCTACTCGAATACTGTACAGCAGCTGCTGTTATTGAAATCTGATGGAAATAAGTACCCTCCACCTCTAGATCCAGTCAAAGGTTTGTAAGTGAACTGTTTAAGCTTATGGTCACCAGTACCCTCTAATTGGACTTTGGTTGTCATTTATCATTGGTCTCACCTGTTTGGTTATTGAAAGAAAAATGCTTGTGGAGTACAAGATCTATGTGCAACTGCTATTTCTGGGGGGTGTGGATATATCATTCTTGTTGACAATAATAAATCCTCACAGATAGTTATTCTCTATTATATTTGTTTGCCCAAACTAGAATTATAAGGTAAAAAAACATATAACCATCACGTGACTGCCTGGGAATGCTTTTGCAAGTCTAAGATTATCATATGAATGGATTTGGTTTCCTCCAGGAAAATTCTGTAGGTCACTTCCAGTTGCTAAATAGTGGTTTGAGTAGTATAATACCAGTAACTGGTTTAGTACTTGATAGAACTGAAGAGTATTTAAAAAATTAAGTTGTTTTGTCAGTGATGCACATCATCTACAGATGATTAGGACATGTAAATCCCCTGGAACAATGGACAGGTATGTTGCCTTGGAGTATCTGCTAGTTTTATAAGATTGTCATCTTGCAATTTAGTGCTAGACACTTTTGACAAAGTGGCTTCTGCCAGCTTCAGACTTAGGCTGACTCATATGCAAGTATGTTGAAGGAAGTTAATTGGCCTCAAATCTACTCTCTGTGAGTTATGGTTTTCATGATCTGTTGGCTGTTAGCATTAGGGTGCTGAGGGTGGAAATTGATGTGCATTTAACATTCTGGCACAGATGATAAATAGAATCAGTTTTTATCGCCTCGTTAACTTGTGTTGTCTTCTTTCAGTTGGAAATTAGAAGATTTGATGTTTAAATCCATAACAAGTGTGAAAAATCTGAGAAATGTGCACCAATCTTGCTATGCTCTTATTTTTTAAAAAATAATCTGCTTTCTTTCTAGGCTCTCTTATTCTCCCCTAGCTTTGCATCTGATGGGATTGTGTAACAGATCTGAAGCTGAAAGACCTAGATGTTGTTAAAGCCTATCATAAATTGAACATTTTGTTGCAAAAGATGGCACAAAATAAATGCCACGGATGTGTCAAATTGGAGGAGCATATTAAGTTAGCCCGTGAATTGAAGCGGCACAGAGAGGAAGTCAATACCTTGAAGTTCGAAATGTCAGATGAAGCACTGCAGCAAATGCCTGATTTTCAGGGTCGGGTATGTGATGTTTTCCATTGCAAAATGCGGATTTGGCATGCATGATCTTAGAATTGGATTAGCCTGTTACAAATAATGCATGTCTTTGCAGATTGATGTTTTGAAGGAAATCGGTTGTGTAGATGCTGACCTTGTGGTTCAAATAAAAGGCCGTGTTGCTTGTGAAATGAATTCTGGGGAGGAATTAATATGCACTGAGTGCTTGTTTGAGAATCAGTTCGATGACTTGGAACCAGAAGAAGCTGTGGCAATTATGTCTGCCTTTGTCTTTCAGCAGAAAAATACCTCTGAACCTTCTCTTACACCAAAGCTTTCTCTGGCTTGTAAGAGGTAACATTTTAAACTCTCATCCTCCTCCCCCGGGCCAACCCACCACCACCAGGATTTGTTCGTAACACTTCTAGTATCTCATTTCTTTTTTTACGTGGATGCTATTTTGGGTAGATTATGAAGAAAACGGAGTTCTTTGGATCTGTGCAGAAACTAGCACGATATAGTATCCAAAGCTTTTTAATGTGTCCATGTAATTTTTATCAAATGAGCTTGGAGTATTCTCAGGAACTTGTTCTTATAGTTGGTGCAGGGGTTTTGCTCTTGTATGGTTTCAAAATGCATTTTTGCTTTTATTATTTTTATTTTTATTTTTTGGTTCAAGGGGAGACTCTAAGCTTATAAATGCGAAAGAGGAGGGCGTGAAAGTCGAACTAGGGACCTTAAGTAAAATGCTTGGAGTTTGATGATCTGGTCAACAAGGATTTTGCTGAATGGTTAAGGGGTTTCTTAAGATTTGCATATACTAATTGTGATCCCTTTTCCATAAATACTTTTTTCCGGAGGATAACAAGATTTTGGTTAATTAACATTCTGCCAATGAAAAAACAAAAAAACTGTGACTTTCTACCATGCCATAATGTCTTGAAATAAGTTGATGTCTCAGTATAAAAAGTTTCAAAGTTCAGCCAAGTTGCTAATTGCAGGAATTCATTTGTGGGGGTTATTTCTTGAAATGTTCTTCCTTTTGCTCTCGAACTTTGCTTGTTGAGATTTGTGGTCCACCTAATGCTGAGGCGTTGTAGAAATGAAAGATATGTCAATTCTTTCCCTTCATCATCGTCTTCCTCTTATTTTTTTTCTTTTTTTGTTATTTGGGGTCTAAATTGATTTATATAATTATGTATTGGTTTTGCAGTTTTGCTTTTTCCCAAACCTTACTGTAACCTTGTTGATGTAGTTGTCTCCAGTAGAAAGACTTTCTAGTCTCATTTTTACTTGACTTGTATGTTCATTTCATTTCCCTGGAACCCAGATTGTACGATACAGCAATAAGGCTAGGTCAACTTCAAGCAAGCTTCAAAATACAGATCGATCCGGAAGAGTATGCTCGGGAGAATCTCAAGTTTGGTCTCATTGAAGTGGTTTACGAATGGGCAAAGGTCGTCTATCTCTGTTTCTCTCTCTCTCTCTCTCTCCAAACCCCCCCCCCCTTCCTTTTTTTTTAAGGAGGGGAGGGTTGGGGCATGCACTCTGCCCTAATTCTTCTTTACATGCCTGTTTAAACCATTCTCGTTAATTAGTCTCTTGCATCTCCTCTCAGAAACTTCTGAATGTGATCTGCTTTTCTTTTGCCAGGGCACTCCATTTGCTGATATTTGTGAACTCACTGATGTTCCTGAAGGTTTGATAGTCAGGACCATAGTTAGATTGGATGAGACATGCCGTGAATTTAAAAATGCTGCTGCGATCATGGGTAATTCTGCCCTTTACAAGAAAATGGAAACTGCTTCGAATGCCATAAAGCGCGACATTGTCTTTGCTGCTAGCTTGTACGTCACAGGGTTGTGACCTTGTTGAAGTCGAAAGGCCTTGATTTGTGCCAATCACCAATACATGTAAATGGACTCTTGTTGTACACTAGTCATCACCATGAATTGGCTGATTTTTTTAGTTAGAGTTTGAGATTTTTTAGTATTCGTGATCTACTTGTTAGGATGAACTTATTGAGAATTATCAAGCTTAACTAATCGCTTTGATATGTATATGATAAAATGGTGAAGAAAATTAAGCGGATCGACGACCAGGAGCACAAGAACATCCATCACTGGAAAGATTGCATTTATTTCGTCAGGAATTCAACAATAGCATAATATGAGAAATATCTCCAACGAAAGGATCATGTTCAGGAACAGGTCTTCAATGATCTATCATTCCCCTTCAGTTGTCACTCCTCTTGGGTTTGTCGGAGACGAAACCAGCCTGAAACCGGCAATCAACGAAAGTGAAATCAGACGACATCTTATCTGGAATACCAAACGGAAAATGGATATAGTTTAAAAGAAGCTTATTCAAAATGAAAGTAGTTACGACCTCATCAGCAGCTGCTGGAATCCATTCATTAGTCGCTGGATTTCCCTTGCAGGAGCCATGGTAATCTGTTGCAGAATCTGGTTCTAAGCTGAAGGATTTGCCTTTCATGCTCTCTATAGCAATGAATCCAGTTCCCGTCTGCAATTTCATTTTCAAGAGCAGAGGATTATTCATGTTTCATTTGGATGATTAGGGGAACATCACTAATTTTTCTATCAAGAAAGAAAAGAAGAAAATCTTTTTTTATATATATATATATACTCGAATGCTGGCTTTTTTTGTTTCTGATCTTGTTACTATTCGACCAGTTGAGGTAACCAAAATAATGTAGAGATGCAATGGAATCAAATCACGCTACTACCGTGTGATGTTGCTTGTCGATGCAGTTGAGATCTTTATAATACTCTGTTTCAACGAACTCCTCAGTTGCTTGGCTTCCACTGGTGCGCCCCAGTTTCTGCAACAATTGGACAGGACAGAAAAAAGAAACTAGCTCAAAACTTCTTGAGAACAAGTCTTAACAAGTTACAAGAACTAAGTAATAAGATCAAATTACAGATAGATTACTAGGTGGGTTTTGATGATGAAGAAAGTAACCTGAGGATCATTTTCAAGAAGTTGAAATCGAACGTGCTCAGGAATAACATCATCAGAACAAGAATCGGTGTAAGTTTTAGAATAGTCGCTGCGCTGAGGCTTGGTATGGCGCTTTGGAGCCATAGCATCAAAGTAATCTCTGGTGGACTCCTCCAGCTTTGCCTCTTCCTCCTTTGACACATGAACATCGCTGCGGTTCGGCCTCGTGCAACACTCCATTTTTCTTCTTCGGTCTTTTCTGATGAGAAGAAAAGAAGAAAGAGCAGGAACCACGTATTTCTTTGAAGAAGATGTTTTCTTCAATTAGTTGGAGTGGCCCTGAGCCTGACCCGGTGCAAGATATTTTTGGCAAGGCATTTAGATATTTTGGCAACACTTTAATTCCCGTGGGCCTCACCACGTTGAGGTGGAGTATAAAAATTGTAGTAGTCGGTGTTTCTGGAATTTTTTTTTTTTTTTTCCAGTTGAAATGCTGACGGTTGGTTGGTTGGTTCTCAAGGGTCAAGTCGAACAGGAAGCTGGACCCCACCACATCGGTGGCATCTCTTTGTTGGATGGCTTTAGTCATGAGATCTGAACATGGTGCCGTGTTGCTGTTGCAGTCTAAGAAAATATCATGAAAAAAAATGGGGAGGAAAACTTCGTAAAAAGAAAAATAGAAAAATAAAAGAAGCTAGTATGTTCAAGATATGCAACCCTTGCATTTTTCCTCCAAACTTGTGCAATTTTGCGGCACACAACATGCAAGAAAGTGAGGAAAAATGCAGCAGTATTTTCTAACTTAACAAATATACACAAAAGAAAAAAAAAATAGCTAACTTTCCTACACTTTTTCTCGAGAAGGTTGTTTAAAATGTCCTTTATATTTTGTAAAATAAATTTTTTAGTCTTGAAACCTATTTATTCTTTTCCTAAAAAAATAAGATTCGACCCAATCTATATTCGTTTTTGTTACTAAAAAAGTGAAATCTAATATTTTTGTACGTAAAAAATGACTGTATATAGGTCACATGGTGATTTTATACTAAAAAGTGATCAAATTTTATCGATTTAATTACATAAGGGTGATAAAATTATCATTTTAAAGATGAACGATGAACAAAATATGGAGGGACATTGCGAATGATTTTGCTCTTTTCCTTGTAAATAAATGCTACCGAAAGTCCCCAGACATAATTGTTGCATTATTTTCCGCCTTCGCCTGCTGTGGAGGGCCTACAACAGCCCATTGTACCCGCTCCAGTTATCTCCACAGCTAATGGTGGCTCTTCAAACTTCGCAGCACCAGCTTGCAGGTTCCAGCTCTTCTCCGCCAGATGAGTTGCACTTCTAGATTCACTTTTGCCCTTTTTTTTTTTTTTTTTTAATTATTGTGACTCAACTGGCACTAGTGGCTTTGCAAGATTTTGCAAATTATTGGACCATTACACGACGAAGACTAACTGTTGAGGATTTCTTCACAAATAAGCCCACGTAGGCCTAGGAGCTGCCTAGTGGCCACGCAACGCGTTGAGAGTTCACATCCATCCCGTAGGGCTTCAATCTAACTCAAAAAGATGTTCCTTCTGTCCAAGGCCCGCCTCTTAACCCATTCAGATCCAAAAGGGCCTTCCAAAACGTGATACGGGTACTGGGGGAGGTCCATGACCATCTCAGTGTCTCATTGTTGGGCGGGTACCATATTCACGCGTGTGGACGTATTCTCTCGTTTTATTGCCTCAAGATTCCTGCTGGTGACTAAGTCACGCTGTCTTTTTAAGATTAGGCCCCGGCACGGTGTATATGAATCACGTGAAAAACTCAAAAAACAATAACGAGACTCCGTAATTGCAATGAATCTCATTAGCTTGAGCACTTTAGAAAGTTTTTGGTTGATGCAAATATAATAGACCGTGTTTTATATTTTTATCAGCACAAATCTCATTTATGGCACGACAAATGCAAGTGCAATTGAAGTTAATTGTGTAGAAACTATCATCCTTGATAGTTGATATTATAAGGGTGAAAAAAAAAGATATAATAAGGAAAAATGGTTTCATTTTGCAAAAGGTGACGGACAATCGCACTCAATTTTATGTTCTTTGCAAATAGTACTTGGCTAGTTGGTTGCCGATGATTTCAAGAATATGTATTTCCTTAATTAATTTATAATCGGCGCAATAATCGGAACTGAGACTCGCCTCACGACTTCTTCTTTATCAAAAAAAAAAAAAAAAAAAAAAAGGTAGATCCTGTTGCTAGGGGACACGTTGCGAAAACTGAGGGATGTTGATTGGAGAGGGCGAATCATCGAAGTGTTTCTTTAACTTGTTGAGCTTGTCAAATAGTACATTAGTGCGTGTTTCAGCAAATGAAAATTAATACTACACTTGTCGATTTAGGAGGGCCAACTCAAAGAGATGCTCGCCATGAGCCCGATCATCCGAGTTCTTCTCCAAGTTTGGCTGGTACCCATCTCAAGTACTCCTGCTGCAGGTTTCGATATATATTGAACATCTTTCCTCAGTGCCCTCAGAGTTGCTATAACAGAACCCCCCACCACTGATCTTGCCGTCTTCAACTATCATGTTTTCTAGCGCGTTACTTCGCTCACTCCGACGCGACAAGTCAAGGTAATGGATTGGTGTCTGTATGAGTTTGTTCCAATTAAATTTTTTTTTTTTTTTTTTACTGTTAGCTACGCTTGTAAAATTGATGAAACTCTAACCTCTTGAAAACACTGCTCTAAAGGGTGTGTTTGCAATTGCATCAAAGATTCTTAAATGCCAAAGGACTAGATTGTACGAGTCACAAGATGCTCCGATCCTTAAATTTTTTGCCAGTGATCAATTGATCGTGGAAATGAGTTTATTGGCCAATTTTGGATTTTGGGACTCTACCGGGGGAGCAACGACCATCACTTGTTCTGCCTCCAATTAATTACCAAGTTAATTAAGTTTGTTCCTCCATTGGGATTGGCTACTAAGTGTAAATGGTCCACTAAAATTCGGATATTTGTAGCAGTACTACTCTATAATAGTGAATCGACCATCATGTTCCATGAGGACAGAAAGAAACGTTGCACCAAACCTGCCAATACGTACTAGTATTATATGAACTCCTCCTCCTGCCTGCGGGCTTCATCATTTTTTTAGCCTCGTGGCGTGGCAAATACACGAAAGTAGTTTCTACTCGCACATCATCGTAAATTATACTGTTGAAACGAAGGGTTCTCTAAATTGTCTTCCTATTTTTGGCGGACAACATGCTGTAGCTACAGAGCCCTAACTTTCTCCAGACACAGTGTTTACATTTCAAAACCAAAATACTCTAATAACCAAACGGGCTTTCGAACCAACAATTCATTTAAAATTTTTTTTTTTTTAATCTTATGGGATAATTCAGAGAAGCATCAATCCATTCCGAAATATGATTGTGTAAACTGAATCTGCCTGCAGAAAGAAGAGAGGACATGGGAGCCGCGAGGAAACTCAAGTGCCAGAGATGCAGCAGCTATCCTACAGCTTTCCAGTCAATCGGGATCACCTCACCAAACGCCCTACGAAGTTTTCTCTACGATCTGACATCCCTCAACTGAAAAGCAACTGGTGAGCAATTGAAGTAACAAACAATAGCTGTTAAAAGACTAGGGACGGATGTTCAAATTAGACTATCAAATAAGCTAATGACAATTATGAAGCTTATTAACGTTGATCTGATTATTCAATTTGAACTTTGGCATAAAATTGGTTCCTTACTTGACCTGTTTATGATTTTGTTTCGTCTAAAATTTGTTCATGAAGTTTTGAACTAATTACATGCTACTCATTTTTCTTCAAGGCAAATAATAATATGCTCTAAATTGTCAAACTCCTTTGCCTCGAGTCTATGGAAAACCCCTCCCTCCAAAAACAAGCCCCCCCAAAAAAAAATTGCAAGACTCCCCTTTGACATGGTAACACTCGTATATCTGCTATAACTGAACCCTAGTGAGCAGTAACCAAGAAAATCTCTTTAAAAAAAATATGTAACAGACAAAACAACCAAGACAAAAGCTCATTGATTTTATTTTTTTTCATTTGCAGCACATGTAAAGTTGTAGTATTCCCATAGGACTATCTTTTTTTTTTGGGATAAGTCGGTAACACATTCCCACCAGAAATCTAAACCGAGCCTCTACTGGAAAGAGAAGAAAAAAAAAATTAAAAAAAAAATTCTATACAAAGCAACTGCTTTGAGTCGTCGACTAATCCTGCTAGTCTACTACTGCTCACATTTTTTACTGATGCCACTGCACACTCGAGTGACTGGCAGCCCGAGTCCCAGAAACTCTGTCAGGATCAACAAAATGTCCGCCACCACAACCAAGGTCTCCAACTTCTCCGATCTGATCCAACGTGTCACCGCCAACTGCTTACTCAACCCCCTCGGCTCCATCCGCCACGCCGACGATGCCTCTGTTCTTCACTCCCCCGACGACTCCGACGACGACAACTTCAAAGCTCAAGAAGATGAAGAACAAGACGTGGACGAAGAAGACGATGACCGCTACGATGTGGGTGACGGAGGAGATTCGCTGAAGAATTGGGATGTGAAAAGGAACAACAGCAAAGGGGACCGAAATTGTGGCCTGAGAAATGAGAGAGTTATCCAGATGGAAATGCTGATTGGCGAAGTGTTCGAGGCGGCTTCCGCGATGAAGCGGGCGTACGTTAGCCTGCAGGAGGCGCACTGCCCCTGGGATCCGGATAAAATGCGCGTTGCGGACGTGGC